ATCATAAAAACTGAAGAAATTTGTTAAAAATATATAATAAAATCACCTGATTGCACATTTCCCATTGTTGCCTCTTATATAATGGAAATTTCACTGAAAGCTCAAGAGGAAGTTAAAAAAGTTTGTTGTTTCAGTCTAAATGAATGTTTTCATAATGCCATCTCCAGATTTGACTTGTTGAGCTGCAGCCAGCTGAAATGGGAAGACATGGGGAGTTATTTAGGGGGCAAATCAGCAAAGCCTCCCCTCTGCAGGTTGAGACAGGTTAACTGAAATTCCAATCTTTCTCTTTTTTCCTTCCTTCTTTCATATGGTTGGAGGCGAGGTCCTCAGCACCCTCTCTACACTGATTCAAACTCAAAACATGGCCTTTACCCACCTACATTCTTTCCAGACAAAACCGTAACCTGGTAACTGCAGACCCTCCCCCTCTTTGCTCATAGTCTCTGTTAAGCTCCTTTTAAAGCAAAGCGCTCCATTCTGAAGTGATGTTCAAATATTCAAATCAGTTGTTCTGCAGCTGCGGCAAGCTGCTTTGAAAGCTCAGTCTCCCAAGGTTGCATTTCTCCTTGTAAATGATGTTCTCCGTCAGTATGGCAGCACCCTCACTGGGTACTCCGGCTTTTTCCAACAGACCAAAAAGGCTTTAAAGGCAAAATGTGAACCAAGTTGACGTCTTAAGTACACGCTGCTGTGCAGAACATGTAAAGCCTGATTCTTTCATTCATGTTTCCTGTATTTAATTTCTTAAATCTCTTAAAATGAGATGAAAATTTGTGCTAAAAAAATGCAGGGCTGCTGATTGACTTTATAAACCAGGTTACAGAGGACAATCAAGGCACATTTTCTTCCTTCAGGGGATTAATTTTAAAAGCAAAAAAACATATTTGGATTATTTCGAAATTGCTCTCATCAAATCTTCATTAAGTCATAAAAGGAAACACAATGATTGAGCTCCTAAACATTGACTCTGATTAAAACCTTGATGGATTCTGAATAGCACAGCTGGCAGAGTTGGCATGCAGCCCACTTCTATTTAATGAAGAACTGAGCCCTGAAACTATTCATGCTGCTCTTTCATGGTGACCCTTTCTTTTCTTTCTTATTGCAGTGACAAGGTAAACATCCCATCCTGCTAACTTTAACAAGCTATACACACTTTTACTGCTCCGGGGTTAAATAGAAAGAACAAAGCAGGGAGTGATGAGGAGAAATGGAGGACTGAGAAGAAGGAAGGAGACATTTTCTGAGATGATTTACTGGCCGGTCGAATTAAAATCATGCCATAAAAAAAAAAGATGAGGATTGGAAGCTTTCACCACTTAGACCCAGACAAACCTTATTATCATTTTGTATATAAAGAGTGTATACAAAACGAAATTTCATTTTATACAGCTCTCATTATATTTCCATTTCTTAAAGTGAAACAGTGATCAAATGTAAACATAAGACTGTGATATGATTTACAGTCTCTCTCCAAGATTCAGCTTTTTTTCCCATTTCATCAAACATTCAGCAGTCTGACGGCGGTGGGGAAGAAGCTGTTTTGGAATCTGCTGGACCTGCATCGAATGCTGCAAAGACTCTTCCCAGAGGGCAGTCCATGGTGGGGGTGTGAGGGGTCATTTATGATGTTAAGGCCTCTGGACACGCAGTGCTGGGATGAAATGTCTTTAATGGAGGGAAGAGGAGCCCCGATGATCCTCTCTGCTGTTCTCACCACTCTCCTCACCTTCTTCCAGTCTGAGGCGCTGCAGCCTCCACACCACACAGTGAAACAGCTGGTCAGAAATCTCTCTATGGTGCTTCTGTAGAAGGTGGTGAGGATGGATGGGGGCAGGTGGGCTCTCCTCATCCTCCTAAGGACGTACATGCACTTTTGTGCCCTTTTGACCAGTGAGGTGGTGTTTACAGTCCACGTGAGGTTGTCTGTGTTGTGCACACCCAGAAATGTGCACCTCCAGTCAAATTAAAGTATCAACTCCTGTAAATTCACTTTACTTTTAAAATCCATTAACAAGGAAAAAAATACACTGAAATATTTTTTTCCAGGTAAATATGTACTAAGTCAAAGGTAATAGTGTTACTAGGGGTTGTAACAAACTGTAACGTGAATGTGGCCTGATTACCCGATTAATTAAAAATAGGTGTAACCAGCACTGCAACGCCATGAGTAACAACTAAAGCAGTCTACTCAGTTTCAGAATAGAGATGATGCGCAGGCATTGTCGTCATTAATCAATATATTCTCATTATGGGTTCGTATGAAATCGTACGAAAAGTTATGCACCGTAATTTCGTACGTTTTGGACGTTTTTCCTCAAAAAAACACATCAGTGCGCATGTGCAGGCAGACAGACAAAAAAACAGATCCGCGGATGGACGTAAAACTGGGAAAAACAGTGCAATAATTACTTCTTCATTTCTCTAACTACGTTGCTTGTTGTTTTATATCTTAGGGTTAGGGTCAGGGTTAGGGTAAATTGTATGTTAAATTCTATGTTATTTAATGGTGCGTAACATGCGCATATGACGTAAAAAAACGTCCAAAACGTACGAAATTACGGTGCATAACTTTTCGTACGATTTCATACGAACTCATAATGAGAATACACTGCATTAATTGAATGACTTACATTTATCATGGAGACAGTTTTAAGAACTGTGAAGCATTTCAGGTTCCTTAGCTTGTTAAAAAACAATAAAAAGATTTATTTTCACAATTTTTAAAACTACATTTAAAGCTCTAAGTTATCATGAATTATAAATCCTGTGTCTGTGGTCAATGAATATACCAAAGTTTGATATTTACTCTTTGAAAGTTTAATCTTTTTCCAAAACTTAATTCCTAAGTAAATTTATGCTTATATGTATCGGTATTTTTTTTTCTAAATTGCAAAAATCAAGTTAAAACAAAGCGAAAAACGTGTCTAAGATCTGTCATAAGTTATAGTTTTACTTTGTATGAATTCAGTTTCTTTCTTTGTCTGAAGGTGAAAAAATTATTTCTAATAAATCAAAATTTATACTTTCAAACATCTCACGCATTTAATTTGAGAAAAACAAATAAATGTAAGTGTAGCAAATTACTGTAATTTTCTTAAGTTGATTCAAAGTATCTTTTTTTCAGTGTAGAGTGAAGGTGTGGAAACTAAAGTGCAACAAAATGATTAGATGGGTTAGAACGACTGCAGGCTGAGCTCACAGCCTGGATCACTAATATCAGTTTATTAGTCTCTCACTATTGCTTATCAAAGACATAGATGAGCAGTTCAGCTTTACTTCTAATTCCAGATCAAACCGAATAAATCAGCAAACATTCCCAGCATCATTTGTTTCATCTCCATTCATTTTCTGACTAGGCGGAGCGGAGACCAAAAAGGTCACAGTTTAAGTTGCTCCTTTTGTGTTAGAGTAGCCGTTCCCTCCACAATATGGAGCCGTGCTGCATTCAAGACCTTCAGCAAAGGAACAACCCTGTTCGGTTCAAAGGTTCCCAAAGATATCAATGCTATTCATACCCTAACGTGTCTGTGCACGGCACTGTGATACCATCACACAAATCACACTTGCAAAAGACATCAGATTCAAACAAACACCTCCCCCTATCTGACACACACACAGTGTCTGTCCCCTGTTTCATGAAGAGGAAGGCACTCGAGCAGGACCAGCAGCCATTAAAGAGCTGCATTCAGGAGCATAAGGAGGTGGTTCAAGAACAATATTCAAGGAAAAAAGTTGAAGTGGTGCATAAGGTGAGCATGCAGGAGCTTTGAGTGAGTGAAAAAAGACCCAAGTGGTTCCATACATGAGGATGTAAGCATGCTAAACAAGTGTGAGAATATATATTTTTTTCCCATCCAAGCTGCAGCATCAATGAGATTAATACAAGGCATCCGGAGGAAACATCTCTGTACCCTTTAAATCATTTCCTCGATGAGGTTATGAAAATTTGGAAAGCTCACTATTTTGACAGTTGTTACACTGAGTTTTAGTTTTAGATTTCTATCAGGTTAAGAAGCAGAAAAACAGTCAATTAAATGTTTTAAAAAATGTCATCTAGCTATTTAGGGTTCAGTTATTTATTTTCTAAGAAAGTAATCTTAGCACAGTGCTTCCTGTGTTGAGCTTCCATGAAAAATCTCAGGGCTTCCAATAAAAAAAATGACTCTCCTTTTCCTTCTTTCCCAAAGAAAACACCCCTAACTTACTGCTTCGTTGTTTATTTTTATTTATACACTGTATAAAACAGCTTATTTGGCAAACACCAATAACTAAGTATTGTATTTTTATTTTGTTTATTTCCCATTGAATGTACCCCTGGTTCAGTGGGTTCAGTGCTCTCAAACCAAAGCAACCAGAGGTGAACTAATTCTGTTGGAGGTTTCCTCCTGACAGAAGGAGTTCTTCCTCTCCACTGTCTCCAGATGCTTCCTCAGAACAACCAGTTTCTGCAAAGACAAAACTTTAGCAACTGCCTTAAAATGTTAACCTGTGTTGGACTGAACTGAGTCATTATTGGAACCAGATCTCGGAGTCTAATAAGTGGGCATGTTTGGGACGCATTGGTCTTGTATATAAAACATTTGTTCTGAATTGGCACCATATGAATAAACTGAACTGAAATCACTTGAATATAGTTTAATTCAAGACACAATTAACTTATTATAAGACTGAATTCATTCGCACAAATATGCTCAATATTTTGCTAGAGGAACAAATGTTACCAAATTGAAAATTCAGAGACAGCTTTTAGAGATCCAGTAATTTCTCCTAGATTAGTCTTCATTTGAGACCTTCTTTGTATAGATGGTCTTTTAATAATAAAACCTGGAACTGATCTGAAATAAATAATCCACCTGCCTCTATGTCACCGCACAGGAACCAGAAAAGAGGTCAACATCAGGCTCCCATAAACCCTGGAATCACACGCTGAGTTTGTTCTGCTAACAGCCAGAAATCAAAAGGTCTCATGGTTTTAGGCTTTTAGTAAATCCTACCTGTCCCAGATCCAGCGTGACGTTGACCTGGTTGAACTCCGTGCTGCGGGACAGAGGCGGGCTCTGCCACCATCTCTCTGTCCCATCGATGGCGTTAGTGATGGGATGGGCCCGATCGCTGTCCTCCTGGCTGCAGATGTCACAGTATTGCCCCTAAGGAGTCAAACAAGGAGAAAAGAAAGTCTTGAAAGGTGCAGCTTAGACATAAAACCTGGTATCATCCGATCTTCCTGTGACACAAGCATGTGGTTCACTTTCACTTTCCATTTTAGATCAAATCCCACTAAATGCTGTTCATACATTTTAACTTAAAAGGTTTTTATGAATACTATATTCACCGATCTGTAAGCTGTCTTCCAATCGCTGATTGTTTTGGTTTCTTCAAGTAGGACCTGCCTGGAAAACCTCAAAACCAAATATCCAAGAGGAATCCTAACCAGAAGGTAGATCCCCCTTTGCTGACCTCTTTAGGATTCAGAGGAGCAGAACTTCTTCTCTGAGCTGCCAGTAGATGAGGGATCCTCTCCTTATCTTTGGAGCAAAGCCTCCCTATAGAGGACGTTCTTTGTGTCATTTCAAATTTAAGATGCTGAGGTCTGTAGCTCTTTAGGATTAGATAGGAAAGTTTGGATGACTTGATATTTATATTTTTTCTATAAAAAAAGACTAATAGCTAATGAGCTCTAAATAATCTTTGTTACAAATGTTACACTAGCTGTATATAACCTATTACTGCGTGACCTACAGCCGGTGACCTTTAAAACACTCATGGTGGCATTTATCGTGGATTTCAGGATACAAAAAGTTTCCATCAGGGAAACAAAACCTAAGGGTTTACGCTCAAACCTTGAATTTAAGAATGTTTCAGCTTCTTTGATCACAACTAAAGATGGAAATGTTTCTATGCGATTGCATTTTTACAGATGTTTGTTAAATTAAAGATCTGGGTTCATGTTTCAAAGACGAAGCCACCTATTTCTGTCATGTCCAGGCTCCAGCAAAACAATTTCCCTTTAACAACAATAAAAATACTGTTTTTTTTTTCTCATTTTCTGAGGGACTTCAATATTAAATATACCAAAATACATGTTATATTCTTGGTCCATAAGTAACATAAAGCAGATACCCCTAAAAGCAGCAGTCCCTTCATCTATTTTGTGCTCTAATCCTCCTCATTATTTACAAATCAAATAGTTATCTTAGAGATTAACCTGGGTGGCAATTTAAGGATAACTGAGATTAAAAGGCGTCTTCTCTGTAGCTCAGTAGGTTCAAAGATTTTCTGCCGTCTCTTGTGTTAGATAGCGTTAATATAACCATCTATTATTTGCTATAAATTTCCTCCCACCCTGATTTGCATTTTGATAAATTTCAAGTATTTTCAAATTGGAGGTAAAAATTGAATTTGCAAAATTGTTATCACCTCGTTGATCTCCTCAAAAATGAAAACAGAGAAATAGAGATAAAACCATGAGATGCTTAAATTGAGCTGATGGGTTTATTCAAAGGCTTTAAATTCCTGCTGTTAGTGTTCTAGTTATAGAACTTTGTTGCAACTTGGAAAGATGGAGGAAAAAAAAACTTTTAAAAAGAGATTAATCTCTTTTCTCCTAAACCTACAGATGGATTCATTCAAATTTTATAAATTTTTATAAATTTCATTCCTGAACAGAATTAAATTTATAAAAGTGAGAGTGAATAAAAAGTAAAAAAAACATTCGACTGGACTTTGTTACCAAGTTTGAAGATGTTTTGCTTCCCGTCCAGCAAGCTTTTTCCAATTCAAAATGTCAGAATTAGCGTTGAGTTTGAGGCTTTATAGAGTGGGTGTATAATGTTCAGAAAATTCAATAACTACTTTGGTTAGTGTAGGGAAATATGTTTTTTTTTTTTGGTAATTTAAAGTTTCTTTAAACAGCAACTTTAGAGATTCCTCTAAGTTCCAGTTTTAAGTAAACCGCCTCAGGGCACATTTATTTATTTATTCTTGGAAGCTGCCTGCTGCTCTTTATCAGCCTCCGCTGACTGATCCTAATCTTGCAGAAAGATCTCCTTCAGCGTCTGTTAAACAACACCTTTTCATGTGTACACCTCGTGGGGCCAACTCCAAATTTAAGCTGAATTCTTTTTTCCTTCTTCTTTTGGCTCTCAGGTCCTGAAAATCTCCCGGTAACAGGGAGCATAAAGCCATCCTGATTGGAGGACACGGGTCAGTCGCTGTGAGGAATGTGGGGAACAGGTGGGAAAAGACGAGGAGAAGGTTTTATGTGGTCTCCCAGAGGCTTGCTATATTAGTTAACCCATTAAACCACAATTAACTTTTGTGTGTTAACAGCCGTAACCAACAGGCTTAGACGTTAAAAAGAGGCCCTCAGGCTCACAAACCCATCATAACATTAAAAACTCTCCAACAGAAAGAAAAAGGATGAAGCTGAAAAATAGGCCCAAGTTGGATTAACTTAGTTTTCACCTTTAATGAAATGCTGGCTGCTCTTATATAACTGAGCCCTGTTAAGCTTTGCCAAGTCCTACAAAGTAAGCGATGCATGAAATGATGACTTGGCAGAGCAGCTGGAGCTTCGCGCCCACTCTGACCCACTCAGTTCAGATGAGTCCACAGTTCAGACACATATATCTGTGATATATAGATAAATGCAGCAGTGAACAGTTATCTTAAAATACATTAAATCAAAATAGATTACTTCAATGAGGCGATATCAGGGGCTTTTTGCACACCTTCTGACGTATTTTCCAGTACTTTAAATCTGATTATGCAAATCCAAAAAATTTAACTTTATTAATTAGTTACTACCAAAGTTTTTTGTTGTTAACATGTCAACAAAAGGTCCTTCTGCTTATTTTGTTTAAAAAATCCTGCACAGTTTTGTTTTGTTAGCTGTGCATAAACAACATTCTAAGTTAACTGATTGTCTGCATTTATGGTCCTGATTAGACTTTCTAAACCTTATAGAAATAATTAAAAATTTAAAAATTTTAACTCAACTAACAACAAATAAAGCTTTTTTGAATCCTGATCTAAAATGCAATGATTTGGTGTCTCTTTTAACTTGTGAGGATGTTTTTTATTTTCAAATGCATTACTTAAATACATCTATATACATCCCCAGAGCAAGATGCACACAGAAAACATAACAACGCTATATTATGTTTTGGTATCAGAGAAAAAAGGAAATCAAAATGAGCGGAAATGAGCAATAATGGCATATAGGATGTTATTTTCTTGTGTAATCTAGAGGCATTGGAAAGCTGTCGCCTTTTCCAAAAAAATAGATTGCAGGAAACTATAGTATATATATAGCATATTACGACATTGATATTAATAACAAAAACAAGTAATAGCGAAGAAAACAAAATATGTCTCCAATTCATCCATTTTCTGACACGCTTAATCCCAAGTGGGGACACAAGGGGTGCTGAACAGGATGCCAGTGCATTGCAGGGCAACACAGAGAGACAAACAACCATTCACACACACCTAAGGAGAATTTTGAGAAGCCAATTAACATAATTGATTTTGGAGTGTGAGAGGTAGCCAGAGTACCCAGAGAGAGCCCACGCATGCAGAAAGACCCCAAGCCAGGTATCGAACCCACAACCTTCTTGCTGCAAGGCAGCAGTGCTATCCACTATCCCACTATATCTGCAAGCATGGAAGTCCAATCTGAAAGTTTAAAATTAAATCTATAAATGCAACAGATTTGGATAAGTGGAAGAAAAAAAAAATATTGGGTTAAATCCGAGCGAATTAGACTAAATGCAAAACTTCTACCTTAAAGTTTAAGCTGCAATAATTAGTTTTCTAAATGCAGATATTTAGAGAAATAAAACCTTTCACCACATCAGAAATGTATAATAGTTGATTTTAAGTTCTGTATGCAGTAATAAAGTGAAATGAACTTATTATAAGTGCAGTTCTGAGGCGCAGCCGGAAGTTTGGAAAACTTTCTGGACTCACCTGGATTGTCTGGCTCGGGTCCCCGGAAACCGGGCCCCCGACCAGCTTACAGTACAGGTCCTGCAGGCTCCTGCCGCTCTCGTCCTCCCCGCAGGTCGCCGTGGCGGTGATCTTGGTCCCCTCCGCCAGGTTGAAGTAGGGCGGGTGGAGGCTGTATCCGTTCAGGCCGCCGGCCGGCAGCTCCTGCGCCGCAGCGAGGCAGCAGCAGCAGCCCAGGAGCAGCACCCATAACCCGGCTCCGTTCATCACCTGTCCGCTCGATCCGCCTGGAGGTGTAAGGCCTGCTGTTAACTGAAGCAGAGCTGATGCAGCATCTGCAGGAAGAAGTCAGTGCAGGATGAATAACTCCAAAGAGGAAAGCAACATAAAAAAAGAAGGAGAGCTGATGGAAATGCTGGAGATCAGAGCCTCGGAGTGTCTGTTCTCCCTCCTGGTGACAGAGTCCTACTAAAACCTCCTAGTCCTCCCCCCTCTGTCTCCTTCAGCCTGTCCCCCAGTGGTTAAAGAGGGGAAACACTCACCACTCCTTCATTCACTTCACACACTTTACTAAATGTTTTAATCCATTCCAATATTTCTTATTTCTCCATTTCTTGTCATTTATATTTGTAGTGGGACTCTTCTCCTTTATTTTCCTAAAATATTTCTGCTTGACTGAGTTATTTTTCTAGGACTTTAAACCATACAATCATCTCTCTCTGGGTTTCAGTTTGCTCAGACATGACTCAAGTGTAGAACTTTGGTCAGGTGATAACAGCTGGGAGTTTTTTATTACCTGAGCAGAAATACCTGCATATTTGTTCACTGATGTAAGCTTAGAGTCCATCCAGTCCAAATGATAGCCTAAAGCGCAGCATATACACTATATTGCCAAAAGTATTTGCTCACCCATCCAAATTATTGGAATCAGGTGTTCCAATCACTTCCATGGCCACAGGTGTATAAATTCAAGCACCTAGGCATGCAGACTGTTTTTACAAACATTTGTGAAAGAATGGGTCGCTCTCAGGAGCTCAGTGAATTCCAGCGTGGAACTGTGATAGGATGCCACCTGTGCAACAAATCCAGTCGTGAAATATCCTCGCTCCTAAATATTCCACAGTCAACTGTCAGCTGTATTATAAGAAAATGGAAGTGTTTGGGAACGACAGCAACTCAGCCACGAAGTGGTAGGCCACGTAAACTGACGGAGCGGGGTCAGCGGATGCTGACGCGCATAGTGCGAAGAGGTCGCCAACTTTCTGCAGAGTCAATCACTACAGACCTCCAAACTTCATGTGGCCTTCAGATTAGCTCAAGAACAGTGCGCAGAGAGCTTCATGGAATGGGTTTCCATGGTCGAGCAGCTGCATCCAAGCCATACATCACCAAGTGCAATGCAAAGCGTCGGATGCGGTGGTGTAAAGCACGCCGCCACTGGACTCTAGAGCAGTGGAGACGCGTTCTCTGGAGTGACGAATCGCGCTTCTCCATCTGGCAATCTGATGGACGGGTCTGGGTTTGGCGGTTGCCAGGAGAACGGTACTTGTCTGACTGCATTGTGCCAAGTGTAAAGTTTGGTGGAGGGGGGATTATGGTGTGGGGTTGTTTTTCAGGAGCTGGGCTTGGCCCCTTAGTTCCAGTGAAAGGAACTCTGAATGCTTCAGCATACCAAGACATTTTGGACAATTCCATGCTCCCAACTTTGTGGGAACAGTTTGGAGCTGGCCCCTTCCTCTTCCAACATGACTGTGCACCAGTGCACAAAGCAAGGTCCATAAAGACATGGATGACAGAGTCTGGTGTGGATGAACTTGACTGGCCTGCACAGAGTCCTGACCTCAACCCGATAGAACACCTTTGGGATGAATTAGAGCGGAGACTGAGAGCCAGGCCTTCTCGTCCAACATCAGTGTGCGACCTCACAAATGCGCTTCTGGAAGAATGGTCAAAAATTCCCATAAACACACTCCTAAACCTTGTGGACAGCCTTCCCAGAAGAGTTGAAGCTGTTCTAGCTGCAAAGGGTGGACCGACGTCATATTGAACCCTATGGATTAGGAACGGGATGTCACTTAAGCTCATATGTGAGTCAAGGCAGGTGAGCAAATACTTTTGGCAATATAGTGTATATCCTCTAACACCCAACGCTCCTATTCTGACAAAAATATTTGGATGATTCAATTCAATTCAGTTTATTTCTATTGCACCAATTCACAACACGTGTCATCTCAAGAAACTTTACAGTTCACCAAGTCATGCAGTCAAATTGATTCAAAGTTTTCTATCTAAGGAAAACCAGTTGATTGCATCGACTCATTGACTCAAATGCAATCCCTTACACTAAGCATGCTTGTGGCAACAGTGGAGAGGAAAACCTCCTTTTTAACAGGAAGAAACCTCCAGCAGAACCAGGCTCAGAACCATCTGCCAAGGCCGACTTGGGTTCAAGGAGACAGAAGCAGAGATACAAAAAGCAACAGTAAAAGTTAACTATCTGACTTTTACGTCTATGTATGTGTTCAGGGAATGTTTCTCCTATTTTAAATGTGTGGGTGCAGTTTGGTTGGTTTAGCATCTCCAGCCCCCAATAACCGAGAGCATTACACACCTGCAAACCTTCCAAAAGATGAATTTCCACCATTTTAAAACAAAGTGTGTGACATCACAAGAGCATTAATCATTGAAACAGCCTTCAGACCTTCTCTGGGGACACAGGGGGAGCTGCAGAGATTAACAGCTCATACTAGAACAGTTATTAGTCAGGTTGGTATCTGAGACAGAGAGTGAAGTTCCCTAAGCTCCACAGGAGATATAAGTCATGCCTAAAAGAACAGGATCTCTGTTGTAACCGTGTGAACAGTTTTCTCCACAGGGTGCCTGGTCTCTGCCTCAGGGTAAGGCTCTCAATCATTTGGGGATCTCGGAAAGAAGGCATTTGAAGAATCTCATCATGGTCTCTCCTCGGTAACTTGCTTTGAAGGTTTACTTTGTATATCTCAGTTACAGGAGACCGTTGGTCAGATCCAGAACTGAAAGTTTTAATATGCCTCCTGGACCTGGAATACTCCAGATTGAGATGGAGGTGACTCTGTAGAACTGATCCTGGCCCCTGTTATGTTAATATTTTTTTTTTTAAAAAGCACTAATGATGATATTCTCTGGATCAGGCAAACTAATTGATAGCTCCCTTTTACCCATTTCTTCCAAATCTTTAAAGAAAAATGTTGCAGCTGAACTGATCATTTTTAGTTAAGTTCTAATTTTGATTTAATTAAAACAATAAATTGTAGTATAAAAAGTCTAAATATGTGATATTTCTAGATTATGGCGTAATATTCCCAAAAATTGCCTTAATTTATCTTTAAGTAGATACTTATATAGCAACTTATTATTTTAGTTACTTTTTCCTGCCCTGTGAGGAAAATGATAATTTCAAGCCAAAATAATAGGAATATTAAGTTGAAACAACATCAAAGTTTAATTAATCTAAATTATGTGGAAATTTCACTTCATTCAGAGCAGCATTATGATTTGGTTTTTGGTTCTGCTGCTTTACATACATTTATTCACTATTGACCTGTTTTTTTGTTTCATGCTTTTCTGTGCTCCCATTAAACAGGCTCCCCTCCCCAGTAAATATGTTCTAGAACCGTCACTCTCGTGGCAGACAGATGTTGTGGGTTCCTCCCTAATCTGTTAGCCTGTGACCTGATCTCTGATAAGCAGACGACAAAGGATGGATGTCGCTCTCCTATTAGTGTCGGTCTTCACTGCAGGAAAAAGTGCATCATATCTAGGTTTTCTGTATCTGTTCTCGCTCAGTGACAGCCTGACGCTGAGAGCCTCAGCAGGGGTTTGTTTAGGAAACACAGGATTAGAATGAGACAATAGATAACCTGTCTTTGTTCCACGTAGACTTCTGTCCTCGTCCTGCTGCTGCTGGCAGTCGCTGCATGACTTCTTCTATCAGTGAAAGTTACTGCAGACCCAGCAGAAAAAGCTTTAAACTTCTTCTTAGAAACATTTGTCTTCTTCAAATCCACTTAAAGCCTGCAGGAGCTGCTGCTTCCCAAGAACATTCTTCCAATGACCCAACACTCGGCTTTCTCATATAACAGTCAATGCATTTTTTTGCACCATGTCTTTTCTCCCAAACTGTTTATATCTGATCACTGCTGCACTTTATGGAATTGAAATGTTCATTTATTGGGTGTGCAGGTGGAACATTGGTTAAAATGCACGACTTATGTGAGGTGGCTTTAGTCCTTGACGCAGCAGACCCCGGTTTGAATCTGACCTGTGGTCCTCTGCTGTATGTCTCTCCTCATACCCCCTTTCCTGTCAGACTACTGTCAAAAAAACAAGCCACTAGTGCTGTAAAAACTCAAAAGAAAAAAGGAAATTTTCATTTAAGCTGTGCTAAACAAAATTTGGTTTTGTGAACACTCGGTGTACAAAATAACAATAAAAGTTGTCTAAGTCTTAGAGATTTTGCAAACTTTATTAGGCTTTTTCTTGTGCAAAGGGGCTCCTTCGTGTCTGCTTTCAGCGTGGCTCTAAACAGGAACGAATTAAGTGCTTGGAGGGGTAAAAAACAAAAAACAAAACCCTTGCATCATTACAGCACAGACTCAAACTAGAGATGAACAACCAGAAGACACCTGAACAGCTGTGTGTTTATCTCATAGTCTCCAGAGCTCTGTCATCTAATTAACGGATGGAAACCTTTTTGGAAGATGAAAGAGCTCCACTGACACACAAACTCATGTACATTTATTAAAAGCAGATGTTTCAATTATTTGCATTCATTGTTGAGAAAGACAACTCCATCCACAGCTTAGTTTCACTTTATTTAATAAAACCTCCCTTCACAGCTAAAGTCTGACTCCAGAAGTTGGGCGTGTTTGATGACGAGAAGGTGAGCCGACAGTCTTTCCTGGAACAAAATAATCCAAGATGGACCCTCATCTATGATATATGTAGAATCAATTAACCTTAAAAATTATCCGTTTTTGTCTCTTAAATGAAACTGTTTCATACCACTGCGGTCTAAATCCTTCCTATTTTAAGTTAGTGCTTATTTCACCAGCAAACGCATTTGGTTAAATTCCCCTGATGGCACTGTTATCCTGTTTCTTCTTCTGAGCAACCGTAAGGCCATGGCCCAGCTATTTCCTCCTTTTTGTCACCTGGTGCAATGACAACTCCTTGGATCTTGGCAGGGAGTGGTGGCCTAGTGCAGGGGTCTTCAACGTCTTCCAGGCCAAGGACCCCCAAACTTATGGTGAGATGGAGCGGGGACCCCCTAAATATATATAGTATGAAATTGTGTTATATCAAACTGGTCCTATAGTCACTCTATTAAAGATGGAGTAATGTAATGAAAGTAATTTCTCCCTGGGATTATTAAAGTATTTCTGATTCTGATTCCTGGTTGATGGGACAGGTGTTGTGAATGAAAGGGTGCCCAA